CTCCGTGGCGTCCCAACAATTACTCCATTCACACAGAAGAAGGAAATGGCAAACACCTTCTGGATCATCTGCCAAGAACGTATATGAACAGGTCCCAGTCCGAGAAAAGGATGGAAGGATCCTGTTCATATGGACCTGTCGTCAGACAGAACACTAAAAAAAAAAGAGCGATTTAAACACGGCACTCCCGAATACGAAGCAGGATTGCCAACTACTCTACCGCGACGTTGCGTCAGGTCTGCGTGTCACATTACTGGCATCTCCAGATTCGGGGGTTGGCTGCAAATTCGCCCTCCTAAACTACTATTAAAGGAAATTATTTCTCTCAATGTTATCAGCACTTGCAAAACACCACATTATTACAGAGAACACGGCCACTCACATCCACAACCATAATATACATACAAGCGGTCGAAGGAAACCACCGGGGGGTGGGGGGTCCAGTGAATAAGTTAGAAAATTAAACTGCCCCCTCACGAAATATTACACCAGTTACTTCGAGAAATTCTTGTAACTACCAAAACAAATAAATATGTACGTACGATTTGGCAAAGAATTTCCCTGCGTGTCGTACCAACTATTGACAGCAGTCTTACCAGAAAAATAAGCACACTTAAGTTATAAAGTAGGTTTGCTGGGAGTTCAGAAGGTCAGATGGAACAAGGGTCACACTGGGCCAGCTGATTATCATTTTTCTTTTTCCTGAGTTAAAGTTTGTCATGACGTTTTTTAAATGCATTTTAGTCGCAATAACGGTATACAGAATATATCTTCCGCTGCATTCTGTATTATTTCATGTATTATCAAGATAAATAAGACTAGTTTTTGATAAAAAAAAACATGACGGAAAGTTATATATAAGGGTATATAATCCTATATTTCTATATGGAAGATCGTTATCCATTTGAAATGTTCGGCGGATGAAAATTTGTTATTTCAATTTTCTTTCAAAAAAAAAAAAAGAACACATCATTCAGTTGCTACTAGGCGTCTGTCTACTGATCTCCCACTACAGTAAACGTTCTCATGAAGAAACAACTCGCGTGTATAAAAAAACAACACGTGTTTCCTCTAGTCAA